TGCCGCGGAGGAGGACGCTTTCCGATGGTTTTGCGTTTGCATAATACACACTACTACTACTACTACTACTAACTACTAACACGCGCGCTCGCTTTCTCTCTCCCTTGCTACACCCCCCCCTCTCTCTCTCTCATACACACACACACACACACAAAACGCACACGGCTGGTCCACCAGGTGCGCGCGAGCCTTCTAAAATAATTAAACACGAGGAATTATAGAAGTCCTCCCCCCGCCCCCACATCCCCATCCCCATTCCACGGGACAGCCTTGCGGGTCCGCAAGAGGAATCGTCCTAAATGGGACTTTGAATAAATCCATGGTAATTCCTCTTATTTATTTTTTTATTCGTGCGCAAGTTAGCGGTTCTAAAGAGGACAATGGCACATTCCGGAGCGGGGCTTCCAGATGAGTCAGGTGGCATTGTGAGCGCTCACGTGTGTGTGCGTGTGTGTGTGTGTGTGTGTTCGCTTACACAAACATAGAAAGGTACGGCAGTGCACAAAAATACACATTACACTGCTCTCTTTCTAACGCATTAAATGAAACATTGTGCCCGGCGTGTTATTTCGCTATGCCTTCAGCCCCCTTCTCACCACCCCTCCCCCTTCTGCACACCGCGAGAGATAAAGTCAGTTGAAGAGATTGCTCCTGCATTATTATATTATTTTTTTTGCATACATTCATCGCTGGCAGGTTTACGAGGGAAATCGGACGGGCTAAATACTGCCGGCGAGACAAGCTCCTTGGCTGCTGACCACCGCCGTGGCGTCGCTCTCGTCTCGCTCGCTCGCACTGACGCGTCGCCTCTAGGACGTCTCTCTTTCTCTCCCACGGCGCCTTGCCGCGTCGTCGTGGTAGCAAGTATGAATGGGTGTCATCTCGCATAACTGCAATCAGGGCATTAGAGAGACACGGAGATTGAACGGGGTAGGCCTATTGGCGGCCAGAACCTGTTCCACCTGAGGCGCCGAGGAGGAAGAGAGGGAAAAGGGGAGGGAGAAGGGGGGGGGGGTGAGCGGGCGCGCGCACACACACACACACTGGCCGGACTGTCCGATTTATGGACTCCAGCCTCTTAAATCATAGCGGGTCGTGAAATCTTCATTTCGCGATGGGTTTTTAATTGAACGCCCCCTCCCAACCCTTTCCCCCTTTCCTCTCGAACTCGTCAAAAAACGGTTGGAGAGGCGATAGTAATCACTCCACGCCTCTTCCGGAAGAGCCCGGACCCGTCGCTGTTTGTCCTGCAGGGATAGGGAGAGGTAGGGAGAGAGAGAGAGGAGAGGAGAAGAGAGAGGGAGAGAGAGAAGAGAGAGGGAGAGAGTGAGGGAGGATGGGAGAGGGGGGTATACAGAGGAAACAAGCGGGGTTGGTTCAGCTCCCAGGGGCAGTAAACAACAATAAGCTAGGTCCTGTGGGGCTCAACAGGGCGCGTGGTCCCCCGCGGGGGGCCCGGGGCGGCCCCGGCGGCGTGGCGTGGTGCGGGAGGACCACCCGCCACACCACGCCATCGCCCACCCAGCCGCTGTGCTGGCCAGACGCCCTGAATGCGACCCCACCTGACTCTCCACTTCACTTCATTCCTTGCAATCAACCAACCCTCCGTTTGGTTGCAGCACAGCTACTTGACTTTCCCATTCAATCAGCCCATTCAACCAACTACCCCCATTTTGGCTGCAGAAGCTACCATAGACTCGCATTATCACACTCCGCTGCTGCACTCAACCAAACCCCCCTTTGGCAGCAGCAGCCACTGGGATCTCCACTTCACTCTCCTCTCCTGCACTCAACCAACCCTTCGGTTGCAGCAGCTCGCCGCTCGGCTTTGCTTTGACCCCGTTCCCGTCCTGCACCGCTAAGATGCCCACGACAGCTGTATGGCCCGCTCGGCCAGCACCGGGAGGATTCCGAGCCTTGGCCCGCCGCCCTGCGCCTGAGCCCATCGCACCGGCCGCGGCGGGTTCAGGTGTAGTGTTACACACGGTGACATCCCTCAGGGCGCGGCGGGGCGTGGCGGGGCGTGGCGGGGCGTGGCGGGGCGTGGCGGGGCGTGGCGGGGTGGCAAGTGGCGCGTGACTGCACCTGGGGGGCCGGCAGCAAGGGGAGGTGGGTTGGGTCATCCCTTCTGAGCCCCGCCCTACACACGAGGCTAGCATGCGAAATAATTCATCACCAGAAAAGTACAGCAGTAGTCTAAAACAGTTACTCTAAAGTTTCTAGAATGGTAGTGATAACACGGAACATGTGTAACCCGCAGGGTACTAAAAAAAAATGAAAATAACAAATCCGAGATTCATCCGGATCCAACATTGGATCGAACAAAATCGTTCACAATTGCACACGGGGAGGCGAGGCAGTATGCCAGGCTAGGACTTGAATTAAGGTTGAACGTCGTTACATACATCAAGGCCGTATCTTCCTCTAACCTGTATCTCGACCCCCCCCCCCCACAAAGTTTTTTTGGTCTCGTCTTTAACTGTTCCCTCTCTGCTCAAAGTAGAGT